TCTCTCCGACCATCCTTTAGATTGTAGGCCCTGCTCGCCACAGTCTTACACAAAGGTGTCACATGATTATGTCATGCTTAATTATATTGTATTTAGTCTTGCCATTCCCCTTTACCTAGACGGCAGAGATCTTTCTCTCCTGTCTAGGTAAGTACCCAATCCTCCTTATGTTCTCTCCTCATTTCCTTTCCCCACTTTATGACTCTTGTAGATACTGATGAGAGATCTTTCTCTCCTGTCTAGACATGAAATAAAAGACACATTGGTACTAGAACCTTTCTCTCAGGAGCTATTGAGCCCCTTTGCTAGTACTATTCCGACGGACAGTGAAGGACTCAACGGAGTCCTTACACTTTTTTTTCTAGTTCCAAGAACAAGATTGGCAGAATTTTTTGAAATTCATTAACGTGCCTTATCTGACTTCCGACCTTTGGACATCTCTTTTCCGACAGCCACAATCTCCGTCCTAAATTTCTCTAAACCTCAATCCTCATTACCTTCCGATTAACAATATTTCCCAATCAGCACAACAAGACTTGATCTGAGCTTAACAATCATCGCCTCCAGTCCCGGACCAGCTCTTTCAACGCACCCGGATTGAAAACCTTCTCATTCTACACCCAAGATGACGCAACGACGGTCTAGGCGGCTGTTTTCCCAGACTGAGAACAGCTATGAGTCTCGTATCCAATACCTAGAGGAGGTTGTTCACATCCTAGTGGCTGGATCAAACTCGACTTGCTTTCCTCTTTTCTCTACAACTCCTCTTGCCGGCTCGTTCCGGTATTCAATCAAACGAGGCCTTGAGCCAGTTCTACCTGACAAGACAGCGATTTCTCTAGCTGCGGATTGGCGGATTGGACGACCAATAAGACGGAAATGTTTTAGTTCCCCGCCTCGTAGTCAAAATCGACTGATTACCACCTGCGATACATCCTTGCACCCAGCCAGGGTACCGTTGCCGACACCCCCTAATTCTTTAACGAACCCTGCTTCACCAACGACTATCGGCGTTGCCGATAGTGCTAACACCGCCAAGAGCTCACCCACCTCCGATCTGGCGAACAAGCCAACCGACTTCTCCCCTCTTGATAGCCCACGTCCCTCGTCTATCTCAGCGTCACCTACTGAACTCCCAGGCCCTCAGCCGGTTTCACATCGGTCTCCCAGCGCAAGGAAGACTGTATGTACAACCTCAAATCCCTCAAGCCCGCAAAATTGGCCAACGGCCATCCATTCTATCAACACAATTGCTGTCAGACCCAAGATTGTTGCGCAAACTCAAGAACCCACCCAAATCGATCATCCTATCAACATTTTCTTACCCGCCAAATCATCAATGTGTTTATTGGACAACAGAACGGCCGATATCTCCCCGGCCTTGCCATCCAAAACCAATCAGAACAAAGGACCATCTCCTTTTCCACCTTCCCCATCCTCATCCTCAGCTCATCTCCCTACTACGGCAACTGTTATTGAATCGCGTGATCAGTCTTTGACTCCATCGGTTGTCAATGGGCCTGCTCCCACTACTAAATACTACAATGACATTGACAATTGCCTCAAACTTTCTGGTGTAAATGAAACCAAAAAGAAGAAAAAGAAAAAGAAGACCATCAATTCTAAATCCAACTCCTCCACTACCTCATTGGCCCAACCTGTTGACACCCTAAATACTCCTGAAAAAGTATTGCCATCACCACATGTTGACGTACCAACAGCGGTTGTAGGATCCTTAACTGTGATGGATGAAGAGACCTTGGCCGCCTTTAAAAGACAAAATGATCCCCGCTACCGCCCAATTGAAGATTCAGAGTTTGTTCCATTTGAAGACTGGTGATCTGAACCTCTCTTTCTCCATCCTCAACAATATTAACAAACCAACTTCATCTGTTATTTTCTGACAATTCCATTCCAACCAATACCTCTGTCTACTCCTCATCCTCCAATTTTGTCTGTTCTATCTTACCTCAAAGTCTCCGACTGTCACTCCTCGTCATCTTTCATTTTGCTCCTCTCTACCATACTTCTAAGTTCCTTAACAAATCAGCCAACTAACCTTGGAAGAGCTCCTATTGATAGCACCCAAATTTCTTCAAGAATTACAGACCTTTACAGGGGATGAACCAAAAACTGTGAATAGGAAGCCAAAACTCTGGGAGATGCGACCATCAAGAATTGGAGGAAGAAATTAAGGCGACAGCACCGAATGA